TGCCGGGCTGTTGCTGCGCCAGTCGAGCAGCAAGGGCAATCCTGAAGGGCGAAGACTTAAAGGTATGGGCTGCCAGATAACTACGAGGCCATCCTCATCGGGGCTGCGGCTCCTGCGAACACCACCGCAGCGGGTGATGCCGACGTAGTGACCGCACTGAAACAACTGTGCGGTTCTGTCAGTAGAGCTGCAGGCAAACCGCCTCGCCGCTCCACAACCGACAGTGCGTGGGACCCTCTCGAGGGGTGACGCCGTCGTGGTCTCCATCACGCTCGCACCACTGCCCTGCTGCAATCACTTACAGAGAGAGACAAGGAAGTGTGTGGATGTGTGCCGAGAGCACAGCGACTGTCATCGCCACCAGGAGGAGGCCATCGTGGCAGCGTCTGTCACGCGTCAGCACACACCGAGCAACGCACGCACCCGGCAGTGCAAAAACATAGGGGGGAGAAGAATGACCCCAAGAGCAGGCAACACCTTCACGCATGGCGGGCATCGTGCAGCCGCGCAAACCGGCCACAAACTCAATGCAAAAGGCGTCCCACACACATCCATCCAATGGCACCGCAATTCCCACCGCACAGGCACACACGCAGCGGCCTCGCCATGTCGGCACGGAATGCAAGCCAACGTCCCGCCGTCGCCAAGAGCATTCCTGCAGAGCACTGTGCAAATAATTTTGTGTGTGATGGAGGAGCAGAAAAGAAGAGGAGCACAGGAAGACACATCAGCACAGCAAGAGGCACAGCTGGACGGCAGCGATACATGCGGCACGGCCCAAACTCAACAATCACACACAGTGGCGGCACACACCCATCGAATAAAAGAAAAAAACAAAAAAATCTTTTAAAACACGGCGGCAGGGTGTGGCTGTGTGCGTGGCGCTGCGGGTGTCTGCCCGCCCTGGCCGCAAGGAAACAAAACAAGAGGGAAAGAAATGTGTGCTCCGCCCCACAGGCCCTCGTCGCACGCCCACACGTCACGGCTCCCTCAGCGCGCCGTTCGTCGCGGCCCCTCCTCATGCGTGCAGCAGGCGAGGCGCACAGGGCCGTCGTCGTGAGCTTGTCGGTGGGTGTGCGAGTGGAGCAGTTGGGCGGGAAACACACGGCACCCCTCGC